TCTTCTTGATGCAAATACGCACCGGCGTCCGACGTTTGGGGTCGGACACCCTCACAGTCGGTGTGACGGAGCTGGAGTTGAGCCCCACACTGTAGTCTTGGCAGAGAGACCTGTTCCTTGCAGGATTTTCTTCTTTCCGGAGCCGGGAGCGGTCTCGTGGCCCCTCGGCAGGAGCCGGCTGGGTCGCACAGCGCGGGGTGATGCTCCGTTTCGGGAACCCGGCCGGGATGCTGCCCCTAAAATCTGCAGTGTTGGTGCTGCTGCTGTAAAGGCAGAGCCGCTTCACGAGGCCAGCGTCACGTAGCTGTGTTTTCTATCCTTTTTTCTCCTGTAAACTCACTCTATTTTTATCTCTCTCATCCAAGGGATGTTTTTCAGGGCCAGGTTGTCCCCAGTGTCCTTGTGGTACCTGGCTCACACTGGGATTTGGTGAATGCTCTTCAGCCAGGAGCTTTCTCATCCCACTTCCCCATCCTACTACAACGGTTTCAATTTATTTCAGCCTGGCTTTGGTCCCTCTGGTTCCTGTAGATCTTTCGTGCTCATCCACATTGAGAAAAGCAACTAGAGAGGCTGGAGCTGCCTGATGGGAGCAGGTCCCATGCATGCACCTGAGTCCAGGGCCTCGATGACTGTGCGGGGATGGGACGCTGCTGGGAGTAGGTGACATGGTGGTGTCACTCGCCCCACCAAATACAGCATCCCACGGCAAGGCGCGGGCAGTTTTGGTGAAGGGTCTGCAGCAGCAATTCTTGGCAGTGGTTTCCAAGGCAAGGTCCTGCAGTGCACGACAGCAAGAGGTGAAGTTCTGATGAAGTTCAACAAGGGCAAGGGCAGGGTCCTGCGCCTGGGGACGAACAACCCCAGGCACCAGTCCAGGCTGGGGCTGAGCTGCTGGAGAGCAGCTCTGCGGAGAGGGACTGGGAGTGCTGGGGGACGACAGGGTGACCATGAGCCAGCAGCGTGCCCTGGCTGCCCAGAAGGCCAATGGTCTCCTGGGGTGCATTCAGAGGAGTGTGGGCAGCAGGGCGAGGGAGGGTCTCCTCCCCCTCTGCTCTGCCCCACTGAGGCCCCATCTGCAGTGCTGTGTCCAGTGCTGGGCTCCCCACTTCAAGAAAGATGAGGAGCTACTGGAGAGAGCCCAGCGCAGGGCT